AAACTTCTCCAAGTCATCCTCTTGCCTGCACTTACAGCCCCCACCCCATAAAATCAGTAAATGATGTTATAAAGTGTTTTAAAGATCATTTTTCCCAGGTGTTGTCATACATGTTTTCCATCCTATGGGGCAGTGGGCAAGAGGATCACAGTTTTAGTCCAGGGCTACACAAGGAAACCTTGTTCCAAAAAAAGAAAACCACTTAATCAGGACTGGATGAGAGACTAGAGTGGAAAAAGACCATTTGGGAAATAAGGCTTTTATGACTCATTAGTTTTAAAGGGGTGAAGGCTGAACTAATGGTGACTATTGCTTCTAAATCTGATGGCAGCTTTTTTGCTTTTTTGCTTTTTGCTTTTGATAACACTGTTTTGGTAACACTGCCATTCTTGACAAAGAGCAGGTTGGAAGCAGGCTGAGACATGTTCCTGGGCCTGTGTTGAAACCAAGGTACCTAAGGAGAAATCCTAGCAGGGGCATTTTAGATACAGTGCTTAGGAGCTCTGCCTCTGAGAGAACTTGTCAAATGATTCTTTTAATCCCTTCTTCCCATGTTGTTTCCTAAAAACAATCTCTTCCACTGGTGATTTTTTTAACCTTTTAATGCACTATTTAATTCTTCACTTATTTTAATTAGTGTTGTCTTCAGGAATATTTGGAAGCTCATGTACATAGAATGTGCACGTGCATGCCTTTGAGAAGCATACTAGCTCACACACAGTTTTTATGTGGTAAATAACTTTGAATTAATGAATAACTTACTGGCCAACTAGTATTTGTTTTTCCCAGAAGCTTCAGAGATGACATTTTAAAAATAATGTAATAATAAGTAAATAGATGTTATTTATTTGTGGACTTGGAGAGATGGCTGCATCATTAAGAGAAACGGCTGCTCTTGCAAAGGACCCAGGTTTGGTTCCAGCTCCCACATTGGTCAGCTGACAACCACCTGTAACTCCAGTTCCAGGTGGCCTCCATGGGTTCCTGTACCCACATAGTGGAGTGTACTTTCTATTCAGGAATAGATACTTGAAGTAAAAATTCATTTAAAAAATCTTTGTTTTGAATTGGGATAATGCTGAGTTATTCAGGTAGACTTTGATATCCTGGAGTGCAGCAGTTGGCTCTCCTATCCCCAATCTGCTAAATGCTGGGTCTTCAGGAACCTGGTGTTCGGTCCTGGCATTTTTCGATATGGCTTTGATACTATTCACCACTCTTCCTGCTAGCTTCTCTATGAGTCATAGTTTCTAAGAGATTGTATTGGATTCTTTCATTTTCCCACTTTTCAATTGCAAACAAATCATTGTGTGGCTGTTATATAATGACATAATGAATCAGAGGTTAATAAAATTCTCCTTTCAGGTTTTATTCCTCAAATTCTGGATTGTGCATAGAACTACACTTCTTTATGTGCAGTATCATATGTGTTCTGTTAAGGTTTCTTATAAATATCAGAACAAAATATCGTGTTGTATATTTTCCATTATGCTTTATCTATCCATTTCAGACGAGTTGATATTTAATTTTCTACAGGAATAAAATTGCATTCCATGTTGGTTCTGGACCAGTCTGTCTTTCATTAGGTTGCTCTTTCTGTTTCAATGTCTAATACAGTGCTATATTGTGAAAATACAGCTCTAACCATTTGGTATAGTCAGAAAATATTGGCGTTGGTGGGGTGAAAGATAGCTGGTGTGGGCTAATCCGTCCCTGCCTTCTCTGGGACGGATGCTGAGGCATTTGGTGTTTCTTTCAAGCCTCCTCTGTCTTAGATTTCTTCATAAATGCCTTCAGGAATCTTCCAGTGTCATGATCTTGGATGGTGAGGTCTTAGCAGGTGCAGTGGCCAAGGGTGAACCTGCTGGGAATGCAGGGACTACACTCTCATCACAGCATTTCGTTAAGCAGGGCTTGGATGCAACATCAGTATCAGCTCAAGTGTAAGAGCTTGCCCTCAGATATACAGCATGTTTACTTCCTTAAAAACAGCAGGACCTCTTCAGTGAAGGCTTGCCATGCTTAGTTGTTTAAATAATGGTTAAATTCATACTTTTTCACTTTCATAAGAAGGCCCTTTCAGCCACTCTAAATACACAGAATCTATATTCTCAGCTTACTTGCCTTTGATGCTCTTGAAAACATAACTCAGGTTTTGTTTATGTGTTTGAGACAGGGTTCCATGTAGCCCAAGCTGGCCTCAGACTTGCCGTGTAACTGAGGATCCTTGAATCCTGATCCTCCCCAGGGTTGTGATTGCTGGTGAGCACCACCTCATAGCTTGTTGTCCCCCTTTTCTTTCCTGGCTCCCTTCCTCCCTCCTGTCTCCTCCAGCTTTCTGTCCCCTCCCTTTATTTCTCCTTAAGTAAGTTATGCCTTCTAAAATTTGCGGATTCCGTCTGTAGATAAATTTTAGAGGTGACATCCCACAACCAGATCCTTTGTTTCTGGGGAGGCTATCAAGAATGCAGAGTTGGCGACTAAGCTTCATTGTGTGGCCTTGGGAAGTGACTGAGGCTCTCATTATTATAGCCAGCATCATAGGCCACCAGCTCTCAATGTTAGAGCCAGCATCATAGGCCACCAGCTCTCAATCCTGTGATTGTGTTTCCTGTTTTACCTGTAGCGATTCCACACAAGGCTCACTTTCTGCTGAATGACACACTTGATAAAAATGATAAAAAGCAACTTCTTAATCCTACTTGGGAGGTTGAAGGATAATTGATGTTCTACAAAATGTAAGAACCTTCATTGACATGAAAAGTGTTCTTTTTTATAGAGATTTGAACTTTCCTTTTAAAAGACAGAGTCTCATTGCTTAGTTCAGGTTGTCCTTAAACTTAAAATCCTTCTGTCTCAGCTTTTCAAATTGATTACAACACTCATTGGTCTGTGAACTTGGATGGTCATTTTTAAATCACATCCCAGGTAGTGATTGGGGAGGTAGTCAAGCTCTCAAAGACCTGAGTTCAGTCCTCCGCTCCCATGCAAAGATGTGGCATGTGGGGTGAAGCTGGTAATCTCAGCATGGGGCCACGGCGAGCAGGGCTTGCTGGTCAACCATCGAAGCCTATTTCTTGAACTCCAGACAGTGACAAACCCTGTTCCAAAACAGGCTGGCACCTGAGCAACAACATGAGGTTGTTGGTCTCTTCACATATGCATGCTCACACAAGTAACTGCACCTCCATGAAAACCCAGAAATGCACACATGAGCACATGAAGACACACGGAATGTGGAATATGGTCAGTGTATTTCCTACTCTGGGATTTATTTCTGTAAAAGCCTTTACTTCAGAATAGGAAAAACTGTCCTAAAAAGAATATATTTTTCTCTATTATCTATTTATTTATTTGCTTTCCAAGTTAATATTTCTTGTGTTTAATGTCTTATATGTTTGATTCCCGTCTTTGAAATACCTTATCAGATTTGTGGTTGTGTGCTATTACTGTTGGAGATTTGCAAATTGATAATGTAAAAATTCTAGGGTTACTTTTTTTCTAACCTATGAAATTGTTTTCCAATTGTTTGGTCTTAGTGACAATGCTGTGATTTATCTATCTAGGCCCCATGTTACCTGTCATCCGTGCTTAGATACATGTGACTGGTGGGCATCCTGGATGTGTCTTTGTAGATATGCTTCTGTGCACAGATGTGTACTCTAACTGTATTTGAAAGCTGGGAGACGGAGAGGACCAACATATGGAGAGAGTAGTTTGTATGCCTGGCAGCTCATTGACACTTTAACTGAAGATAATGCATAGGGTGTGTATTCTTAAATTATTTTTTTCATTTCATGTGTGTGTACTACATTTCCATCATTGCCTATCCCTCTAACACCTCTTGTGACTTCCCTACTGCCTCTCAAATTCATGATCTTTTTCTCTGTTTTTGTTACACAGACATGTAAATGTACAAATATATAATTACAACCACTGAATCCATTTAGGGTTGTGCATATGTGTATGTTTTTAGGGCTGACCACTTGGTACTGGATAACCAGAAAACTGGTTCTCCTCTCTCAGCAACCGTTCACTGCTTGTAGCTGTTCATCTGGGTGTAGGATCCTTTTCTCCAGTTCCTATTGGCTAGCCTATCTGAATCAGTGAGCTCCAGGTCCAGTGACTCCATGAAAACAAAACAGGAAAAAAAGATGAAGGGTGTTTGAGGAAGACACCCATATCAACTCCCAGATGCCACACACACAGATAACCACCTGAGCCTGGATGGTCATATGCATATACCTACAATAAGAAAGAAGTGTTGTCATATGTCCTACTGTGCCCATTCAACAAAGATGGGGCACTACTGTATGCCAACCACCCTCTAACAGAAATATGTTCTGCAGTCCATTGTGCTATTGCTTTATCAATTGGCAGTTGAAATGCAAGATAATATTGACATCGGTTAGGATAGATACATAAAGATGTCTTGACTGAATTTTTTCTCATTGTAAGTCAGTAAAACCTAAGAATTAAGTTTCTTATCTTTTTATAAGCCTGTGGCACACTCACTGAATTCTTTAATATAAGCAGGCTCTTACCAGAGTAGGTATTTTATGATAGATTCTTTTGAATTAGAGGCAGTACATTTAACTGATGAGTGGTTTAAATATGCAGGCATTTTACTTTGCATGATACATGTGTAGTGGCATTTAAACTATAAGTTCAAATAATTATGTTTTTAAAATACTGACAAAGTAGCACATTGTTTTTCATTTCCTAATAAAAATGCTACCAAATTAATTAGTCGCATAACAGATGATTATAAAAATAAAATAGGCAAAGCTGTTGAAAGCTCATGGCTTCTCAGAGAAAGGTTAATTTTTGAAACTGCTCATTTTTTGAAATGTGCTTTTTAAATTTAGTATTTTAATTTCTTTAAAATGACATGTGAGTTATAATTACCATCTTTGCGAAATTAAAAATTAAGGTTAACAGGTTGACTTGCCTTAGAATTGCATTAGTTACTAATGAAACTATTTGAAAACATGTTTCAGTGCCGTAGACACATTTAGGAAGAAAGAGAACGATGCAGCTGTGATAATCCAGAGCTGGTTCCGGGGCTGCCAAGTCCGAGCATACATCAGGTACATTTGCTTTACCATGGAAACCTCATTTACAAACCAGAGTTCAGGCTTTGGAGAACCACAATTTGTTTGTGTAGCATTTATTCCAGACACCCTCTTATTTCAATCAGTAATGAAGTCATTAAAGGGATACGGAACACTATTTCTTACTGGTATGTGAATTATATCTGCCATATACATCTTTAACAACTCTCAGTGTTGTAAGCACATTTGATCAGATCCCCCCCCCCCATGAAGTGCATTTATGGTAGCAAACCAACTAATGGATCACAAAAGGGACTTGGGAAGAGGAATCTTCATATTTCTCAACTGTTGGTTGATGAAAGCAGTGGTGTTAAAATGATGATATTCTAATTATAATATGATAGATCCACCCCATCTCAATCCCTCCCATGCTATTCTTCAGTGCACAGAGCATTTTTAATGTTCTCTTTGATTCTGAGGAAAGGTAGGCAGTACAGCCTGCCTAGCACTTGCCTGGTGTGCACACAAGGTCCTAAGTTCAATTCCTGGTGTCATACCTCACATGTGAACAAATATTTTCCTAGTAAGTTACAGGAAGAATATGCCTTGTCTGTATAAGGTGTATGATTCACAACACTTCCTTATTTTATCCAGAGTTGTAAAATCCAGTTTGTAAAGTGAGGCCTCTGCTTTCACCTTAGTGCAATTTAGAAGCATGGCCATGAAGGGATTCTTTAAACTCCTCCAACTCACATGATGCCAGAAACACTGGAGAATATGAGAAACCACAAGGGCATGTTTGTTGATATAGGAACTATTTTTCTAAGCTCTAAACATGAAATTCATCAGTAATTCCTCTGTCATTTCTCAACATAACAACTGAACTGTGCATAGCACACAATTTTGAAGTATTTTATCTGTGCCTAGTAGCACAGGCCTGCCCCTAACTATTTGGAAGGCTAAGCCAGGAGAACTGCAAGTTCACATTACAGGGTGAGTTCAAGGGAAGCCTGGGTATCTCAATGTATACTTGATTAAAAGCTGTGGATGTAGGTCTGTGGTAGAACACTTGCCTAGCACGTAAAAACCCTAGAGGTTTTACACACACACACACACACACACACACACACACA